CCCCAAAACCCCAAAACCCCAAAACCCCAAAACCCCATTATGGAACCTAAATTGGTTTTGAGCATAATTTGGAAATCAGACTTAAAACTTTGGTTGATGAAAGCTAAGAATTTACCAGGTTTACCCATTTTCACCAATAGTTATTTAATTGTGGAGGAATTGACAAGTAGGTATTCTAGATACCTCGGATCGGAGAGAAAGTGTAATAGAAAATTACAGAGTTGTCAGCCTTGATGGGCCATCAGAAAATACCCATTAGGTACAGCTTAAAATTGGCTTAAAATTTACTGATGAAAACCTCTTTAATAGATAGACAAGAATGTTACTTGGCAGGGAAAAGTAGGAAATCCTACAATTGAGATTGTCAAAATTTTGTTCGTGTTGTGTCCATGCTAATTTCTGAACAGAACGAAAATTTTAAAATGAAAAGACCTAGAAACTTTCAGAGTGAAGACTCTTCAACTAACTTCAGATGGTCTGGGAGATATTTTAAGTGAACAAAGTTTTAGTCTAAAATTAGACACTTTTTGTACGAATTGCTGTAGCAATTCCTTCATTATAAGCAATTAGCTATTAGCTAATAATATTATTCATCATCTTCTTCGTTGGTTAAGATTTTTACCAACCATTCAAAGCCTGCATCAAGTCCTTCATCTTGGATGGCTGAGGACTCTTGGATTTTAATACGTCTCTTATGCTCTTCTTCTACGACACCTAGATTTTTCCTCAGCTGAGAGACCCCCATTGCTTCAGGAATATCCTGCTTGTTTGCTAGAATTAGAATGGGAATATTCATCAGCTCCGGCTCTGCTAAGAGGTAATTCAGTTCATCCTTGGCTATTTCGATCCTATCAAAATCGGTTCAGTCAATTACGAATATAATTCCACCAGTGTCAACGAAATAGTGCTTCCAGATCTTTCGCATTCTCTCTTGGCCGGAAAGGTCCCATGCGTCAAGACTTACATTTCTCATTCTGACTTTTTGGTGGTTATAACCGATAGTAGGGACTGGTTCCCCATCCATTTTACCCTGAATTTTCTCTAAAATAGTGGTTTTACCTGCCTGGTCTAACCCTAGGATTAATATTTTGAAGTTTTTATCCTCTTCTCCGAACAGTTTGTCCCAAATTGAGACGAAGACACCCATTTCTTAAACTGATTTAATTTTTATAAATCAATATTTCTTCCTTTTTCAGGGGTTTTGGGGTTTTGGGGTTTTGGGGTTTTGGGGTTTTGGGGTTTTGGGG